AGTGCCAAGTCCAACCAAAGAAAGAAAGAAATTGAACTATGTCAAGCAAAAAGGACTAGCATCTATCGGATGTTGAGTTCGGATGCAAGGTAGTGGATCGGACGTCCGATAAACAACAACAACACATCGAACGTAGTGCTTCGGACACAGAATAAAATTGTAAGATGTTGGATATCTAGGAGAATCTACCGAACGAAAGGATCGGACGCAGAATGCTACTATCGGCTGTCCGAAAAAATTCAAGGAAAGAAATCAAGGTCTTTGTTTCTATCGGACGAAGAAGCCTTTGAATGCAATGCAACTTTCGGCTGTCTGATAAAAATTGAGAAGAGCACACCACCTAAGTCTATCGAACGCAAGCATCAGATGCAATCACAGCCACTAGACATCCGATACTCTTAAAGGTTAGTTTCTTCTACATTACACGCATGACCGTTGGAGGAGAAAATGTGGCCTTTTTGAAGACCTATATGTACCACAAAGTCTGTAGTTATTAGAGACTTTGCCTATATCAATTACAAACTCTTAAGAGTCATTTTAGTTAGAAAATAATCTTATTTTACACTTGTAATTATTTGTGAGGTGAAATCATTTTAAAAGCTTTTTAAACTTGACTTTGAGAGGGCTATTCAATTTGTAACTTTGAGAGGGTTAACTAGCGTTAATTGTAGAATCCTTTGGGTCAGCCAAAAATTGTTTGGGGTGAATAAAGGGTGATCCTTCCATCGTACAAGATTGGTTTGCTTTACCAAATTGAAAAAGTTTCATTAGTGGAACAAAATTTCAAGTTTGATTAAACTTGGAAGTTGTTGGTTTGCGCTTTCTTATCCCTTTTCTTAATCTCTTATTTTACTTGTCTATTTGTTCTTAATTACTTTATTCTACTTGATTATACTTGGTTGTTGTGTAAACAAGTGATTTGATCACTTAGATAACTTGGTAAATTTTAATTGTGCAAAATTACTTTTAATCCAACTAGATTTTAATTAACCTAATTCACCCCCCACCCCCAGGTTGTTTCAGCCTTTCAGGACCTTACATATACTACTAGGATTAAGCCAATAGTTAGAGGAGAGTTGTTAAAGTTCTCCTCGATATCAAGTTTAGGGTCCGAATTCTAGACCTGTCAGTTGAAGGTGGAAACAGTGTGGAGAGAGCAGAATTAAAAAAATTAAATTTTGACAAAGCCTAGTAAGGTACATTTACGATTGTATGTTTTCCTAATTTATGGTTTACAACATTACTTATTTTTCATTTTTTTTTAAAGTCGCCCTTGGGGCTGTTTCATTTCCTTTTGGTTTGTGGTGCAAAACACTTTTCATCAAGTGGGTCCATAGCCCCTCAACAATCTTCTTAAAGAAGTCCCCTGAAAACTTTTGCTTTTCCTTATTGTACAGGCACGAGCCGCACGGCAACGGCCAGTTTAATAAAAAAATACACCTTTTAGTACGACGGGCGACAGAAAATGTCGTCCCATTGCCGTAATAAACAAGTTTGCATGTGTTGGCTTGTAAACTCGTGTGTTACACGAGAAAGAATCTTGATAAGAATTTTATGTTTTACTTTTACTTGTGACGTATATATAATATATACACACAATTGAAATGGGAAGAGAATGAAGAAATTAACGAGCATACGGGGTGTAAATGAATTTAATTAAATCGAACATCATAATATTTAAATTTATTTTATTATTTTAATGAATTTAAAATTATGTTCAAATTTAATTTAGTTATTTATTGAAATGAACTCAAGTGAGCATTTATGGAGTCAAACTCAAACGAGTTTATATCAACCTGAAATGGAGTCGAATTGCAATAGCTTTGAATTTTTAACCTATAAATTACAATTTTGTACAACTTAAGCCAAGTATTAATTGAATTTAAAAGTTTATCGAACATAAAGTAGTGTTCAACTTTAGATAAATTAGTTGGTGAATTAAAATTGGACGAACTCTCGTTGAATTAAACTTGATTCGAATATTGAGTAACATGATTCTTCTTTCAACCCCACGAGTATGGCTGGAAAGGCTAAATCCACACCACTCTAAATTCAAAACTTTTATGTATTATCGCTTGTATCACCAATGTTGAAAAAGGCATGAAATTAATATCGAAGGGTATGGATTTAACTCCCAAGAATGTTTATTTTAATTCCCAGAACGTATATTATTATCAACCGCTGAATTATATTTGATTATGAAATGGACCTTCATTCAGATTATGACTTTCCAATCTAGTATACAGCAGTATGCAATGAATTTTTTTTTCTCTTAAAGATGGAGGAAATGAATATTCAAAAACTTCTTAACGACCTAAATAGTGCACAAGAAAATTATGAAATTAAATAAGGTCGCTTGAGAATCAGATTGACTGTTAAATCCCATTCCTACATTTTCACAATCATCAGAGATTATTTCTAGTGGTAATCAAAGAAACTTCTTACACTAAGCTGCTTAATATTAATCTTACCCCACCAATGAAAAAAAAAAAAAATCAATCTCCAAAAGTGTTTTCCGCAGCTTACATGTGGACAACAGACCATTAAATATGTAGCAGACACATGAATGAATATCTTGGGACCCAAAAAAAAAAAAAGCAAAATTTTAAAGAAGTCATAATAGTAGCAAACATCTTTGGAAGTTCATTAAAATATCTACCAAGTCTGGTCACATTCAAGCCTCCACTTGTCTCGCGTCAATTGGGATTCTCTTTCTCCTGATATGACTTTTTCCAGAAAATTGGTTACATATTTCCTCAGCTGATAGCAACTCTTTCCTCCAAAACATTAAAAAAAAAAAAAACCCAGATGTCCAAGTTAGCTTCACTTTCACAATAATTAACCAAGAGGAAACAAATCTAATGGTTGCTTTTGTTACTCGGATTTTAGGGAATATGTACACCAAGTGGGAACATAAAATAATGAATCCTACCCTCTAATTTGATGCCAATTCCTGACTTTATATAGTGAATAACTTTACACAATGAAGGGCCACAATTGTGCTAGCTTTACCATTATATTCTTTAACATTATATCGAGGGAAGTTCAAAGAGACTGTGTATAAGGGGCTAGTAGGATTTGATCGCGTGTCAGAATACCTTTTTTAGATTTATTTCATTGCCGGTAGAGTTTGAATAGGATTTAATCGCGTGTCAGAACACCTCTTTTAGATTTTTTTCACTGCCGGTAGAGTTTGAATTCCCAACCTACGCCCAAAAAGTGACTTGGTGGCTATTGTACCGAAACTCAGTAATTTTTACCATTACCACTAAGAGCAGAACTTCTGCAGGGCTTGCAGCTAAAGTCATCAAATTAGGTGAGGAAAGCGTCGTAAGTCATAACACGCTAAAAAGTATGAGACAATTTCAGAGAAATCAAAAGACCCCATCAAAGACTTCCAACCATATTGCACATAATTACTAGAGTTGACAAAGGTAGTTAATAGCTAAAACCTATTCTGGCTTGAACGACTCCTTCAGTTCTTGGTTGGACCACAAAATACTACAACTTCACGTCTTTTTTTGACCACAAAAAAAAAAAAAAACATACACACGTATCCTTTGTCTTCCCCAGGAGGACGGACACCCACAACTCAAAGTCTCTGGATGAGTTTCTCAGCAAGTGTCATGCAATTTTAGGAGACAATTTAAGACCAAAATTCCCCATTTGAATTTTGTGTGATGGAGATTGAGATTCGAAGAAATTTTGAAAATGTGGTATGTCTCATGGATGAATAGTTAGCCATTGACTGTATTAATGTACAACACACCAGTTGCCAAAAGAAAATATATAATCTTCACTTTTGCGAAGGTAAAATTGAAAAATCAAAAGATCGGCTCTAGATCCTCTGTCAGACAATTATGTGTTACACGTATAAATTACACCCAAGATTAGTTAAACCAACCCAATGAAAAAATATACCAAATAATTCAAGTTTTACACCGTAACAAAGGATCCGCAGCCCACAAGATTAGGGATGGCAATGGGGGCGGGTGCCCGCGGGTGCCCGCCCCGCGGGGGGCTCTCGGGGCGGGGGTTGGGGCGGGGGGTGGGGCGGGGGCGGGGGGGAATTTTTTCCCCCCGCTTAGAAACGGGGCGGGGGGCGGGGAGTATACCCCCGCCCCATCCCCCGCCCGCCCCCCGCAAAAAAAAAAATATATATATATATAAATATATATATAATTATATATAATATGTAAGTTAATTAGTTATAAACTTATGATAATGATATTATTAGTTAGATGTATTATATAATGTATATTAGTTTATGTAATATAATTGATATTATCAATTATATGAATAATTCTACATGTCTACTAATAGAATTTATTAATTAGTTATACTAAATTTACTAATACATTTATACTAAATTTCTAATTACACTTAATAGAATAACACTTTTTTCTCAAAAAAAAGCACAAACACAATAATGAATTAGTGATTGCATTTGTACTAAAAATTAAAACTTGACTATTTTAGTTATATTTATTTCATCATATTGGATTGTATTCAAATAACTTATGTTTGATTGTTTTTATGAGTTTCAATTGTAAAATTACAATGAATAATAATTTGGTGATGTGTTGATATTTTAGTACTTGATTATTTATTAAAATTTAATTATAATAAAATTATATAATAAAATTTTATTAACCCCGCGGGGGAAGCGGGGCAAGGCGGGGCGGGGGCGGGGCGGGAGCGGGGGGGGGAGGCGGGGGACGGGGCGGGGGACGGGGGGAACTAATAGGCAACGGGGCGGGGGACGGGGGAGGGGTCCCCCACCCCAACCCCGCCCCGTTGCCATCCCTACACAAGATAGACATAAAAATTCAATGAAGATATCCACATTTACCTCGTTCAACTAATACTGGCAATTATTGAGGTCCCGAATTCAAAGCATATATTCTTTCTCCACCCCTTAGTTATGTTTGCCAAACTGTGTATTACTACTGCAAAGTATCCCTTGAGCAGTTCACTGAAGTCTCTTCTGCTCTGGCCCATGTGGGACATCCAAAGGTACAAAACAACTGAAATCTCCCCTGATGCTCTCTGCACATCAATGTCATGAGATGATTATGTCGTATCTGTGTGGGATGTCCTACTGACCAGGATTCTAGTGGAACCATGTCTAAGTATTCTTCCATTATTTTCGCTTCGATCATCTTATCATTGAGCTGGTCTGCTGTTTCTGATTTGAGTTTCTGGCACCTGCAACAGTATGTCAGACAGTCTGATCGAAAATTTGAGCAGAAAACCAATCGGTTTTGGGAGTTCCATGAGCAATCCAATAGCTGGGTTGAAGTGGAACTCCCTTTTGATCTTGTTTCTTGTGTCAATGATACTTGTACAAGAGTTGGTTCAGTTGATCATCAGACGATGGACAAGGTTGAAGACACAGAAGAAGTTGATGTTCCTGAGTCGAAAAGGAGCTCTGAAAAGAAGGATTGTTTAAAAGCAGGGGTAGGGGAAAATTCTAATGCTGTTCTGCCTTTCAGAAAGAGAGTTTCTCTAACAAAAATGTCTGATACATCCATCTGGATTACTGGACCTAGTGGATCAATCTATGAGAGGTTTTGGAACGGTTTGCAGTGGGTAATAGCACCACATGATCTACCAGTAAGTGCAGGGTATGCGATTTCTGTCTTCATTGTTAATCAGATAATTCTTGCTCTCTCAGAGGCAGGGAATCTGTACCAGGTACTAATCTCCGAAGGAAAGCACGTTTACATCATCCAAATCTGTAGTCCAAACAGGAATAAATATGAAAGTCTACTGTATAGATGTCATGAAAGATGTCCAAAGATGGAACAAGAACAGATTAAAGAAAAGAACAACAACAGAATGAGTGCCACACACAATTTGCTTCAGAAATTTTAAGATTTTATATTGACTTCAAGAATCAGTCTTGTTACTGCATATCAATCAGTCCTCTATAGGTGTGAGACATTTTCGAGCATCACAAATTCACAAAGCTATTGAATTTGGATTACACAACTGTATAGTTATTGCAACATAGAGTCCACAACAACAGAATGAGTGCCACACACGATTTGCTTCAGAAATTTTAAGATTTTGTATTGACTTCAAGAATCAGTCTTGTTACTGCATTTCAATCAGTCCTCTATAGGTGTGAGACACTTTTAAGTATCACAAATTCACAAAGCTATTGAATTTAGATTATACAACTGTACAGTTTTTGCAGCATAGAGTCCACATTCCTTCTTTTGGATTTTATGACAGATGCAGCTGAATGAAAATGCACATCCAGTTTGGGTTGATTTCACACCACTGATCAATAACAGTACAAGCCATGAAACAGGACAAAGATTTCCCGCCCGAGTAATTTCTGGAGTGACCTCAGAAGATAGGGAGTGAGTAAAATACTGATTTCAGAACATTCCAATTCAAAGCAGATTCATTTGCTGGAAAACAAAGTTCTGTTACAAGCAAAACTTGCCAATTCAGACTCAAGCTAACAATTTGTTTTCCACCTCACCATCAGGAGATTATATTTGTGCACAAAGAATCGATCACTAATAGAACTTATTGGGACTGAACCTACCAGGTGAGACCAGCCGAAAAGGCAGTTACTAGCTATTATACATGCACCTTAACATATCAATGCAAAAAACTGAATTCATGAAACTTTTCCAAGTTATACACTGTTCTTTGTTGTGCACAGATGGAAAAATCATGGTCGACCACCTGGTGCCGATGTTGAAGCAATAGTCGATGCTACTTCTGTTAGACCAGAAGCAGTATTTACTGTAAGGTAAGTTCCCTCTTCCTTACTTTGTTTGGTATGAGGGATGAAAGTAAATATACTGTGGAGATACTACGTTGTCTATATTTATCAAATCTACGCTATTTGTTCATTGATTTGGAGGAGACATGGTGCAACAGTGCCGCAGGAGATCTCTACGAATATGACCAGAATTCTAAGCCAGCATGGAAGAAACACATACAAAAAGAAGGATCAGAACTAGATCTCTCTTTGGCTCCATTGAAAGGTTGCAGCTTCCATGGACTGAATGGACCTACTTCAGTGTCAATCTTTCTTTTAACCAAGGTACTGGATGCTTCATCTTATCAGTCGGATGAGTGAATGATCATAGATTGAGCAATCATTCATATGAAGCATGAATTATAATGAGATGAATACTTTAGAGTAAGTGTCAAGCAGATTCACAAAGATATTGAGGATGACTTGAGGTTTCAAGGACTATGTGAAGCACACAAATGCTTAGTTGGCATAACGAGTCAAAAAACATTCAAGAAGCAGCTGAGGATAGTAAAAGACTTTCCAGAAACAATTAAATCACATCAATGTTTAAGAAAGCCACTGATTCTTGTTCCCACCATTTAACTGCATCAAAATGAAAAGAGAAAGATCTTCCAGTGCTAAAAACCGCTCACACCAACTTCTTAAGTATCTAATATTCTGTTGACAGAGTTCCTATTCAATCAAAGGAGAGCCACTGCCTTTTTCCCATACCAAGAAGCAATTATTTTCTTCTTGCAATTAGGTACTTCAGTCTTGTCATCATTTGGCTGGATATGATGTATAGTTCCAATTTTCACCTGTGCTACATGATACGAACAGGGAGGAGACTTGGTTGAGAGGCAATTCCAACAGAGGAAGTGGAAATGGGTTCCCCATGGAAGTCCAAAGGATCATTTCTTGACATCCATCACATGCAATCCGCAAGATGAACCAAATGAGAACCTACATACAATGTTTCTCACTACAGCAGCTGGATTAGTTTTTGAATATCGAATTCCAAAACAATCAGGTACATCACTTCTATGGATTGCCATTTTTCTGAAATAGTTGTTTGACTTTATTAACTAGCGCAGTCTTGGGGAAAGCCAGTTGCTAAGTAGAAATTGAAATGGAGGCCTAATAGGAAAATACAAATATTTTCTAGCTAGAAGGAAAACATGAATTGTCTTCCTACTTTTTAGCCAGCATTAAGGTTGAACGGATTTATCTTTGATGGCATGAATCATTTAGTATCCCGAGGAATTGATTTTGATACAATGCAAGATATGCAACATGAGATGGGATTCCTCTTTTAAAGATTGCCTTCTATGTATCTTGTTGATTATTTACACCTTTCTTCCATCTACCTACACACATCTTGATATACTTCCAAAGCTCAACCACCCATGTAAGTATACGTGCTGAAAAAAAAAATCCCTTAAGTGTCTGCAGATAACTAAGTATCAGAAACCTGCTAAATGCTAATTTAAAGGAGAGCCTGACCTTTCTCTTGTTTTTTCATGGCTCATTTCCTTATTAGTGATTCTACAAAAATGATGAATATAACAATGAAACTTAGCAGTTGAAATTCCAAATACTACATGATAACATGTTATTTTGATTCCCTGTGACTCTTCATATATTCGCTGCTACGATATTATAATTTACTATAGAATGTTCACCTCTCAGAATTAGCTTCACGTCAAACTAGAGCATATAATTGTGACTCACAGAAACGATCTGAATAAGAATAAGTTCATAAGGTTGGAGCAAGACATTTCCTTAGGGAGCACAATTAATTATCAAATATAAAGGATTCTAGGAAATTTATGTTGCTGCACACACATAATAACACAGGAAGACAAGCATATCAGCCACATGTACAGTACATGAATGTAATTCTGTCGCTCTGCCATTTGTAACTGAGTTTCCAGCCCGGTGGTGAAGACATTACAAGAAGCAGAAGTAATTCATTAGTACAAGAAGGTCCATGTTTCACTGGCAGAAGAAAATCTCAGCTTTTACTCACTTTCACTCTCTTTCCTCTTTTCCTAATAGTGGTGCATTTTCCCTCTCGTTCTACAACTATATTTACAAATAAGTGACAATGCACCTTATTGTATTAAAAGGGAAAGAACACCAGCTTTCGCTTAACAGCCCTTTAATGTTCAATTTGATTGTTCAATCCATGAAATCCTACGGTTCACAGAGGCAGTGTTGTGTTTCAACCGTACATTAATAGCATCCAAATCCAATTCAATTACACAAGCCTAGTGAATCCTAATAATATAAAAACTTTAAATTTGTGTAATCCATACAAAGGTTCAACATGCACTTTACTCATATTGCCTCATTTCATTTCATTTCAAGATAACCATTTGTAATACCATACCTCCTGCATTTCAAGATAGCTGGCTCTATTATAACAATGCCCTAAGGTTTCAGTAATATGCAGATTTATCAGAATCCAATGACAAGTCTGATCAACAAGTTTGCCTTATATGCGCCTAGGCTATTGAAAAAAGAGTTCCTTTTAATCTCTGATAGAGAACTAAAACTTTTGAGGTATCTACATATAAGTAACTAGACAGACATTCCAAGCACTGTAATTAGCATGTATCAAGTGTCATCGACTGTTGAAGATGTCTGCATCTGTAAGATAAACTTCTGAAGTGAGGAAACTGTGTTGAGAAAATTCTTTGATCTTATTAGCATTCTTATGAAGATGTTCAAATCTTTTGGCAGGCCAAAATCTTTTGAACAGATACTAACTTCTTTATATCACAAATTAATAACTATAACACATGAAATGTCACAAAACACGCACTAGTCCTGAGATAAGAGATTCTTTCACAAGATCAAGTAATGAGTTAAAGGAGGATTGATTTGAAGAAAATTAAGCCAAGTTTGTTTAGTCTTTGATAACCCTTTGTCTCAGTCAAGCGAACATGAAAGCCAAGCATTTTTATTAGGCAGCCCAGATATGGGAAGCTTTTCTCTTATTTTAATTAAAGGGGTGGTGAGAGTTTAACTTTCTAGCGGCGTACTTCTGTCTCAGAAAAAGTTTTCTTTAATCTACTTGTCAAACCATTCTCCATTTAGATAATGAACTGAGACCTCTTTCTTTGTATCCAACTTTATGATTAGACAGAGACCTAGCCAAAGTGTTCTATCCTATCGAAAAGGAAAATCTTTTGCAATATACAATGCATATTGGAAATCGCCACAGGATGCCAAGTTTCAAGGTCAACCAGATTGCTACATCTATTTCCTGACCACTCCAGCCATCTAAGGAGGCAGGACTAAAGAACTTGTAACAAATCACATACCCATGTGCAGATTATCATACATGCACAATGCATGTCCATTTGTGTCTCTTATTGAGGAAATCAGTTATCAATTGCAATGGAAAACTCGAAAGATTAATTGAACTACAATCTTGATGTCAATATATTTTATGTGAAGACAGGTGCATCCCAGGAGAACCAAATTCTAGAGCATTGGGTGAATCACATTCATCCTTCAAATGCAAAAATAGCAAAACGAATTACAGGGCTCCAATTGCAAGTTGGCAGAATGATTTTTCCATTAGATGATGGAAGGCTTTCAGAATTGCATCTACCAGGTATTGGTGGTGAAAGTTCAGGACCAAGTCAGCAGATTAATGCCCGGAGAAGAGTATCCCCCAAGTATGTATGGTCCATATTAGATGCTCCAGAAACTGAAGGATGGAATGCAGAATACTGTACTGAAGAATATGGACCTACAAATTGCATTTCAGGGATGAAAGAGGAAACCAATGATGAAGATCTTACAGGATTAATATCAAGAAGGAGAAAAGGAATTAGTTCACAACAAAACTACTTATTACTTGGCATATCTGGCAGCAGCTCAACCAAGACCTTAGAAGATCATAGTATAGCAGATCACTCGATTACCAAAAACTTCCGTCTCAGAGCAATGCATGGAGGAAAATCCTTCTTCCTGATAACAGATGAGGGCCTGACATTTGAATACCTAAGTGCCGAAAATGTGTGGTTCTGGTTGAGGCACGAGCATTCAACAGCCATCAGGGGCGCAGTTGGAAACTACAATGGAAGTTTGTATTTGATTGATGAGTATGGAAGTCTGTTTATTAGAGAAAGAAGTGGAAATGAACTAGCATGGATAAATTGCACTGCCATAAAGAAAGGAAGACAAGTGATTGGAGGTCCACCATGGGATGGCATTCCTGGAAAGACACAGAAAGTAACAGCAACTGATGCACTCTTTTTTGTCAGCAGAAGTGGAAGGTTATTACAGCTAACTGTAAGTTGCATTATGCTTTAAATTTGAATCTTATATTTTGACAAGGTGGTTTCAAACAATTGAGATACAATTATCTTCAACAAATTGTCCTTGGGATGAAATCCTCCAACAAGTTCTTTCAGTACTTAGATGGAATCACTTATGGAAATAGTTTCAGAATGTCCATCAATTTTCGAGATGAAGAAATCAATCCAAATGTTGTTTTTTCTTTTCATCCATTCTTATGGAATCAATGCTCACTTAATCAGCCATAATGTTGCAACCCTGTATTTCTAATTATTTGAAATAGATCAGTAATCAAAATTTTAGGCCTCTGATCATCTGTCAACAAGTCAAAATTAGAACAATAATGAAGATTATCACAAGGTGAGCATGAAAAGAAAGATATATCAAGTGATTCAGTGGTCAATAAGCCTCGTGAAAGTAAAATTTTTCATTTCTAATAACTGGTTGATATTTTTTAGCGAAATCACAAAACAAAAAGTCTTGTTTTTCTGCTCAGACAAGTTCACTGCTGATAGCTATAAAGTATAACTACTTCTGTATAGGTTGCATTGAGAAAGTTCAAATGGAAAGATTGTCGAAACCCACCAAATACTAAGATTGCTTGCATAGCTGATCAGGAGGCTCTCAGAGAAAAAATAGTGTTTGTTATCGGGAGGAATGGTCGACTGTACCAGTACAACAAGGTTACAGAGCTTTGGCATGAGCATTACCAGTCTCAACACTTAGTTCTATCAAGATTGCCTGGAACAGCTATGAGGCCATCACCTTTATCATTAAAGGGTTCTCTTTTCATGCTTTCTGAAAATGGTGGACTAGTTGAATATCACTGGAATCAGTTAGACGGTTGGAATTGGGTGGAACATGGAACACCAAATAGTAATGTTACATTAGTTGGTTCACCAGGACCTTGCTTTGAAGGTGGCCAACTATTTCTGATTGGTTCAGATGGTAATGTTTATCTTAGGTTCCTGGACCAAGCAACATGGAAATGGAAGAACTGTGGCTTTCCATACACTGAAACTAAGGTGGATGCGGATCAAAAGCAGATTGGAGAAGGAAATGGAAACAAAGATATCTGTATCAATGAAGAAATTGAAACCAGCTTTGAGAAACTAGCAGAGAACTTGCAAGCTATTAACAAAAATTGTGATCCTAAGGTGAATGACTCTCATCAGTATCAACAAAACTTACACATACAAAATGTCTTATTTCCTCTGACTTCTTAGTGAACAATATGCAGGTGGAGTCTACACGTCCAATTTCATTTGCAGAAACCTCAGTCATATTTGAGCTAAGAGATGGCAGAGTAAGCAATCTAATTCATTGCCTACTCTAAGTTTCGTATCGTACCTAGTGCATCTAATTATCATCTGCTAACTATTACAACAGCCATACACTGGTGACGGTAAGACTGAAACTTCCAACATGCAACATAAGAACACTTGAATAATGAGAAATGTAATAAAGATCTACCTCTTTTGTAAATGCAGTTTATGATAGGATTAATCTTCTTACAAGTAACACATTGTGAAAATTTAAGTGACAGCACACAGACTTCGGATGGAATTCTTATGCTTCTCTAAGAAAATCATAATATTTCAACATTTTCATCTCCAAACAAAGTAAACATATTAAATCTTGGCTTTGAGTATTTTGAAAATGTACAAGTTTAAACTCAAGTCTTCTACTTGATAGTGTTGCTGATGGAATTGATTCATGACAGTTGGCAGAGTTGCAGAAAACTGGAGATGCAAACTGGGCTTGGTCACGTTCCATTGGGACTCCCACAAGTTTATGCCTAGCTAACTATTGGACAACTTTGGCTTCATAAGATAAAAATGCCTTATTCAATACAAAAAAGGCTAGAACAGTTCACAGCATAGCAAAATACACATTTCGATAGGTTGCAGTATGAAAATGTTGTACAGTCTCTAGAGAAGGATATTTACAGAAATATTATACTGAATGGAGTTTTTCTCTATTTCTTTTCTTACTTATTCTTATGTATTCCTCCATCACAGAGAAGCACAGAACAAGAATGTAATCAGCTGTAAAGCAGTAATGCAAAGGAAAGGTACACAAAATGATGAATAAAATTTGGGTGTATTTATTGTATGAGCTTCAAGTTTATATCTCTTCCAGCATAGAGAATTTCTTTAATCTTTATGCTGAGGTCCTTAAACATTTTCGTTTCATTTGATAGTTGAGGTCTCTAAATGCTTGACTGAAATTCTTGGAATCTGGTACTTGAGAAAAGAGAAAAATCAGTGTGTTGGAAATTAAGTTTCTGAATTTCTTAGCAGAAGCTACAAATGAATCCTGATGCAAGTCTGCATTACAGTATCAGCTCATCAAGATTAACATTAATCTGATGAAACAGAGAGACTAGAGTTAAACTGTGTTAAGATTGTAGTAACCATTGTCTGTGGCTGGGATAACAGGCTAACAGCCAATCCCAGTACAGACTCTTCACAGGACCGTTCTGACTTTCAGCTGTATAGTTATTCTACTTTATTGCTCTCTTTTCTGCAAGAACAAAGAGCTATGCTATGCTCAACAAGCATTTGATTGATAGAAACATTCAAGGATGAAGAACCATTACAAGGACAATGTGCTCCTCAAGGTATGTGTCCTCAAGTGTTTCCACAGTATGAGAAAATTCATACGAAGCTGCAGTTTTAGAGCAAGAAGTATCCCTTCAGGGGTTCTCAATTCTTTATGGACATATTATTGTTCCATTATCAGAACCCTCTCAATTGCCGGAGTCATTGAGTCGGTTTTGAAGCAAGGTTAAGTACATTGTGCATCATCTCACGGCCTAAATTGTGGCAGTGTTTCACATTTCTCTATTGCTAGGAAAGCCATGTGAATGGAGATCAAGAGAACATGATTAAGGCAAGTCTTTGGATCAAGCAGAGTTAGGAGTTTGGATGGTATAACTTCATCTAATAGCTTCAAAAACAAATGAATATTTTATAGTGAGATGGCTCCATAACATGTTAAATATTTAGTATTTTCTTGTGGTTGTATAGTTTGTTACTTCTTATACAATTTGATATAAAATCATATAACAGTATTATATGTATAAATTTTATTCATACACACCAACTTAATAAATAAATTTAATTCACTAAGTAATCGTACACCAAATTTTGAAGAAGTACTACAATAGTTTATAATTGCACTAAATCTAACCCTACCTATCCAAACATCTCGCAACATCATTTCACCATGACCACACAAATTGCCCCAATCCTTCCTAAAACTGTTTCACTATGATACATACTTTGTCAATTAGCTGTTTTGAGCACTAAAATTTTTTGCGACCAGAAGGAAATGCCCTTTTAACCCTATTTATTCTGTAGTAAGTGACGTAATGGATCTCACCAGAGACTAACAAAGATGTCTACATGAGCTCTTTTTACTACACTACGGTAGACTAACAAGACGTCTACATGGGCTCCTTTTCCTACAATACAGTACATCACTTCTGCCTGGAAAATGCCAAATCATTGTGTCCAAAATAACCACGACATTAAGTTGAAGTTTAATTGGCATTTGTTAAGACGTTGGCTTGCCCGAAATAGACTGATCATGGCCCCTTCCATACGATGGGAAAATTATCAACTTATGTTTTGAACTATATATGTAATTTCTTGACGATTTCACTGCTGTTACATGAGGGTGATATACGGTTTGTTGGCCAAAAAGATCAAGAATGGGTTTACTTAGAAATTAAACATTTGTCTGCATAATTTTGTTGAGAGACTTCATCTCAAGCCAAAAGCAACCCTTTTTTTTTCTTTTTTTTTTTTTGGGTCGAAGTGTCGCTACCACCAACGAAGAAATTTGAGGATACAGTCTCAAATTATAAGCCAAAGACAAACTAAAAAGACTACAATTACAATACATCCTATCGCTAAAACATTCTTTTCGCATACTGATAGTTAATTCTTTTCAGAAATGAACAAATAGGGAGAACAATTTGTCAACTAGACAGAGACCAACTCACGCAAACAACCCTAGGCCAAAATATCTACTAAGCTGCAAAACATCACACGATTAAATCAGCAGGCTCCAGAGCCTATGATCCTCAAATCATTCATGAGTGGCACCACCTTTCACTTGAAAAAACCCAAGCACAATCATAAATCTCCCTTACATGAGCGCCAATCTTCCCATGAGATAAGAGCTTGGTTTTTTCTGGAAATTTCCCCAGCAATTCCAACATGGAAGGAAATACTAGACACAAGAAGAGTCATCCGATGCAAGCATGAAAACATTTTACTAGCTAGGAGAAGAAGAGAACAAGACAAGCAAAGCAGACAAGGTAAACAACCAAGCCCCATCTAATCTGACAGCATCAGCAAAAGCGACAGAAATCACTCATTTGTTCACATAGACTCCTGAATAAAATCAATCCTATGCCATCCTAAAATGGGTGGCCAAATAAAATTGCAGCACAATCAAGAGAATCTCAGAGGCCTCCACTGCAGCAATAAACAAAGAGCAGAAAGGAAATTAACAGTATCCTCCAGCTGTAATCATACAAAATTAGTTAACCAGCATACATAAGGGCTTCTTTCTCTTAACCCATATCGGAACCTCAAACATCAAAAGGAAGTGATTAAAATCTTCTCCTTGGGCTTCTAGAGCGATGACCACGTGGAGATCTGCAAAATTTAGACCCAAAAAGTTAAATCTCACAAGTAATTCCAATGCTCAACTCTTAGTATCCTACACTAATATGACATACACATGTTCAAGACCAAAAACATTAATCACATCCCAATATCGCTTGTCATCCAAAGTGCAAAACATCCACCTCATAACTCATTTGTTGAAGAAACTAAAAAATTATATGACTTCACACATCCAAGGTCAGAACAAATGGGAGACGAGAATATCCACCATAGCAGGAAAAGATGCTAATTCCCCACAAAGATCATCCAGTCTGGAAAATTGCTAACTTGAAAACGAAATTGTGATTTGTTACTTCTAAGTGGGAAAAGATGCAAACAATGTCAGGCAAAAGAAAAAACCCTAGAAAACTGATTCTCAAACCTAGTTTCCCAAAAAAAAAAAAAAGGGTACCATAAACTGGCTTTGCAAAAAATACCAGTTGAATGAAAGAGAAAAGAAACAGCACTTTTGACAATAATAGAAACACCCAAAGACCACATAATTCTACAGTCATCATGATTTTCAAGTATTCATGTAACAGGAAATACACATACATACTACTATATTTGTTCATTTTAATGTCATCTAACATATGCAGAATTACACACTAACAAAGCCTTATTGACCTGCAACGTTTATGGCATAAATTAATAAATCAAATTAGATGTTCTGCAAACATACCTCCTCCTCATATTCTTCCTTTTAAATGGACCTTTGCTGAATGCCCAATCAACATGTATAGTGTGGGTGTAGAATTCAGTTCCATCCATTTCGTGTATGGCTTTCTCTGCTTCTTCGCGGTCCTCGTACTCAATAAGTGCATAACCCTGCAAAAACCAATTCAATATTAATTCTTTTGCCACCCCAAAAAAAAAAAAAAAAAAGTCCAAGGAACAGCAAACAAAGTCACGTAAAAGACTCAAGGAAACCGCCAACACAAAACTGAAAAGCAGAAGAAAATATGTCTTTGTAAGTGAAGATAGAGTTCATTACACAAACACATGAGCCCTTAGTGAACAAAATCTAATTTCAAGTAAAAACAACTTATATATTTAGTAGCAAGGCAAAAGATTCAGAGATGCACGACAGAAAAGTGTGTTCCAATTATGTGGTACATGTTAGGGCATATATAGTGCGATCTATGAGCAAACTCCCAGGCTTTTAGCTGCAAAGAACAAGACTGTATAATTCATTATCTTTTCCTCAGCTAGCTATTTTACTTTTCTGGGAGTTTGTAGAGGGTCCTGAAGTTCATGATTGACAGGAAATTCAATTCTATTTTAGAAGAGAAGCTAGACTAGAAAAATATTCTACACCTTACAAATTTATGCTTACCTTGACAAATCCAGTCCTGCGATCAAGATTCAAATGCAAGTTTTTAATCTCTCCAAACTCACGAAATGCATTCAACAGCTCATCTTCTTGTAACTCTTCATGAACTCCAGTAACCAATATAATCCATCCTTCGATTGCTGCATAAATCATTACCAACAAAATTTTTATTAGCATTTTAAATTTTTCAAAGAATAACCCTAAATCCAGAGCATCAAAGGTAAAGGCCACTACGTAATAAAGCAAAAGCCTCCAAGAGTTTGATAATGTGGTCATTCCATCTTTTTTTTTATTTCTTTTTTGCAATACAATATAAGTAAATGCATTAATAGGCCAATTATGTATTACAGTTTTGACCTTCTAGGAAAGTCATGCATAATTATTGTAAATTAACAAACTTTATATAAATAATTCAATTTCCCACAACATATGTTTCATATTTCATCCTTTCTCCATTTATTGCCCAACTTAGTGACCAATTAACCTGGGCAGCTAATTTGACTGATGCACATATAAGTTCATTATTTCATGAAAACACTCAATACATTTGAGGCCATTCAATGCACATGAGAATAAAAGGGCTTTAAAAAGGCAGTCTCAACGGAAGCAAGAGCTACACTATGAGCAAAAACCATTTTCAGTTTTCCTTTGTCAAAGAATGGGATAGCAGCAGCTTTTTAAACCTTCAGAAAATTGAAACCCAAATCATAAATTTTGTAATTTCCTTGACAAGTATAAACAGCCTTATGATTAAAATCCTGAATGTGATTCTAATGCAGAATAGGCAACAGGAGTAGTTAGATTTTGCAGGCTGGCTGCATGTTGTCAAGACCATTGAAATGTACTGGTCCAAAACATTTCATCACTCAAAGGGAAAGGAAGATTCCTTAGTATCTGCTCACACTGGTTGCGATCCTGAATGTGATTCTAGAGCAGAATAGGCAACAGGAGTAGTTAGATTTTGCAGGCTGGCTGCATGTTGTCAAGACCATTGAAATGTACTGGTCCAAAATATTTCATCACTCAAAGGGAAAGGAAGATTCCTTAGTATCTGCTCACACTGGTTGCGACACATTCCCCTTAAGCAAATGCCTCAGTAAGGAAAAACAGGGCTTTTGCTCATTATAGGACTTGATCAAACATATCACCACATTAAAGCGTCCTCTTGGATGGTGTATTCTATGGATGTTTGCCTGAAATTTTACTGTAGCTCACTATAGCCGTCTTAGGAAAATATTGATGTTAGTCTGCATGATGTGGGAATGTTGGGGGAGGGTGCTGGTAGAAGAGGGAAAGGGGTGCGTGTCATTGGGCATTTTGGGGTGTTTTTTCTAGCGTTTCTGTTCTAACAGGTTTCTGTAGATATGTACACCTACTAAAGTATAAATGTCCATAATGGGACCACACTAACACAGTACATACTCTGTTCAAAACTTATTGTACCAGATTGAAGCTAGAGAAACTAATGACACAGCTTACTGCTCAAACTGGGTTATGATGAGAACACAAATCCTAAGCTTCCCCTGCCAAAGCCTAGACCTCTTCATTGATTATAACTGTGGCTGAACATAAAGTAAATGAAGCAACACCACCACATAACGCTACTTATAACTGGACTTTCCGGTTCTTTTTTATCTCAATCCTACAAACAACGCCAACATACGGCTTCCAAAAGATTCAACCAAAAACCTTGAAATATATATGAACCTGTGCATTTTCCCCATTGGTCCCATTGCCTTCATACATGGATAACAATGATGCCCAATCAGGACATATTAATTGCTACGAACACATTACCCATAGTACAGAAAAACAGTCACCAATGTTGAACAAGAAGTATTTACTAAAAGCTTGTCAAAACAAAAGGCTGAACTAACAACTAACAGCCAAAAAGAAGATGTTACTGTGTAAAACCAGTAAGAGACAAACGTCCATAATGTCCTCCCACAACTCCCAGAAAGACTTTCTCAGAGCATCACGATCACTCAAAACCCCAGAAGAATACTACTCCCAGATCCTTTCTGTCTTCATACTTCCATGTGCTGCTCAAAACAGATCATTATAAATAAAATTATGATCCCAAATATTACCCGCTCACACATCATAGCACATGTACACGAATTACGCTTGTATTTTTGCCTATATGAAGAGAGGTTTATATATGGTGCTTTTGCACCAAAACCACCAAGAAAGCCGGATTAAGACTTAATTCTCCAAATTCGTTTCTTCTATTCTCACAAAGTACTACGTTTTTCACAACTTCCAAGCAACCAAAAAAACCAATTCTTAGCACCAATTGATAATGGAAAGAAAAAACGGAGACGAACACAAAAAAAAAAAAATAACAAGTAAAAATTCAGAAATACAACACCTTTCTCCTCCCCACAAAAAAAGTCATAAAACCTAGCGACCCAGCAGGACAAAAAAAAGCCAAAACAATTCCCAAAACAGCAAAAAAAAAAAAAAAAACCCCCCAAAAATGCGCTACTACTGGAAAAAATGTAAAGAACGCCGAAAATTGAACTAACATCGTTCAGGACCAGGGCCGCCTTCGGAGTCCAGCGAGTCAAAAGGAGCAGACATGCGAGCATTTCGGTCAGCAGTGGTGGCCTCCTCACGGAAGCCGCGGCCTTTAGTCTTCTTAGCGGCGGAGAAGGAGGAAGAGGAGCCGCCGGTGATGGCGGACTTGAGCTTAGGAATTGGTGCCCGAGGCGAAGCCGCCCCGTCGACGTCCTCGTCCATCAAATCGTCATCCTCCGGCTCGAAATCCACCGCTTCCACCTCCGGATTAGCCATTAAAGCTGGTCACGAAATAGTAGTATCACTCTCTCGAGAGGGAGACTTCTTTAGGGCAAGATTTTATTTTGGGGATTTTAAAGAGGAAAATAGGGGCGAAAAACTTCAAATTGATTAAAAGTTTTGCCGAATTTTTTTGAAGGGTGAATTGTAGATTAGGATGGTGTTTCAAGCCCATGATGACTATGTTGTTTTACTTTATTACCCTTTCCAGATTTGTTCATAAGGAAAAATTGTAGTTTTGGTCCCCAATCTTTAACCCATGCGCGAATCTAGTCCCCAATCTATTTGTCAAAGCAAATACGGTCTCCAATCTATTCAATTTTGCATGAAAGTGAGCAATTGACAGATTTCATCCAATTATTCAGGGAATAACGATGAGTGCAGTCATGTGCCTCCGTATAAAAGCCTTTTATCAACATAAGTAGATAAAGAGCCGAAGGGCTGTGATGAGCTGGAGGTTTTCGTCGTCCTCTCACGTGGCCGGCATGTGGATTGGAAGCATTATGTTGTTCGCGCATCGCGCGTTAGCTTCCCATTAGACCTTCTTCTAACCCTAAATCAAACCCAACCTCTGAGGCACCGCTTCTCATCTTCTCCTCTTCCTTTTCTTCTCTATTTTCTCTCCTCTTCTCCTCAGACTCTCTCCGTTCCTGTCCTTTTCCTCCCTCTCTCTCTCTCTCTCTCTCTCTCTCTCGTGCTTTCGCTCGTATTTATTCTTGATTCCACGACCTCTGAAAGCTTCAATAAAACCTCCAGACGAGTGAAGATCCGCACAAGTCTAGATTAGTAGTTCATTTTGGAATCTCATTACTTGATTCGATGTTAACCCTGATTTTGTTTCTCTTAACTTTTGCCGGTGATTTCGCTTGTGAAGGCCACCAAATTTCTCATTTTCTCTAAAATCTGGCCTCAAACAACCCTTTCCATTCCAACACATGGGCGGGTCAACAGAATCCTAATCAACAGTAAGCTCTCAAGCTTCGCCCACCGCCGCTTTGTTCTTCTTTTTCTTCCCCGTGCTGCGCCGTTCTTTGCAGATGCTTGTAGATCGATAGTTGATTGCGATTTGTGTGTGAAAAGTGCAGGTTAAGGAGGGAAAAGGTAAGAAGAATCAGCAGTGATGGTGGTGCCTTTGCTTTCTTGCTTTCTCTATATCTGTTTTTTCGTTATTTCTCCCAATTCCATATTGAACTTAGAAGTTGCCGAATCAATATTTTCTCTAAAATGTATTTTTTTCCATGAAATAGAGATGACCAGTGGGATGCTGCTCGTGGAATTCTTAGTATCTGATCTCATCAATTTTTTGGGTTTTCTTTTATAGTGGTATGGCCAAACCTCTTTGGGTTTTTTGTCTCCTTTCTTATCTAATCTTTTTCTCCTCTACTCTTTTATTATTTTTATCAATTTCATGCGCAGGTGCTGCAATTGGACATTTCTTTGGTTCTTTTCGCTCGCACGCTTGTCTCATCAATTTATTGGAAGTGGTTCAGGTTGTTATGGGATAATGTAATGAGTTTACGTTTCTTTAGATTGAGGCTGATTTACAGATGGTAATTTATAATTCTTCAGTTTTTTATCACTCCCCGTCTACTTGAAATAAATTTTGAATTCAGACTTAATTTTTGTTTTAAACCTGTTTTCTTTTTTTTTTGGCAGAATTCCATGCTCAGGATGGAAAAAAACTACTTGATTACGTGGCTGAACATATTCAATAGGTGAGTTTGTGAATTCTCATTATTTAGGATTTTGACCATTCTTAATGATTGTTTCTCAACCATATACTTTTTATTAGCTTTAATCTGAATCGGATGGAGTTGTCATGGTCTTATCTGTCATTTAGTCTGGTTAGTGGAGATGGTTTGTTTGACTTTCAAGAGTGTTTTAAGAAGTCCTATGTTTTTTATAAAGTGGCTGTGTATTTCCACTATAATTTGTAAATTAGTTGTTAAATATATGGTTAGTGTTTTATATCTTGTTGTAGCGCTTGAAAATTGTCTAGCGGTCCTTAGGATTCCATCTCTTGGTGCTGATTGGTTGGCTTTTTTATGAATGTCTCATGGAGTTTGTACCATGACCAATCATATGTAGTTGATCACCTTGCTTATGAAAGGGAGTGGTATTTGCTACATGCAAAGTAAAAGAACCTTTTGAGCATCCAAAGAGGCTTTGATTTTGTCAGTGATAGAACAAGGATTTGCTTAATATGAATTAACAATTCTATTCTGTACCAGAGCTTGAACATCATCTTCCTTAAATTGATGACTTGAAATTTTGTCTAGGGATTTTATTAGCTAGAGACTATGCAAGAGCTCTTGCATGAAATTTCATTAGTGTTAAGATTGGTAAAATCACGTAGGACACTACAAATTTGACTACATTGATGGCACATATCTTATCCAATTACTGTTTTAATATTTGTAGAAATTTTACACTGTCTTTAAATTGTTTTTCAGTAGTCTATGATGCAAGAGGAGGATTCCTAAAACTAATAGATTTGTAGATGTAAATTACAGCTCCAGTAGCTATTAGCTGTTGAGGAGTTAGGTCTATCTTTGCAAATGCTAATATCATCAAAGAATGGTATGGCATACATTACAACTGAACTTTATTACATTATTGTTGCCACACATATGTACTAAAGTAAAGTCATCCATTTTAAATCTTTTTTCTTTGAATTGGCAATCAGGAAGCAAGAGGTAGAGCAATACCAAAGAAAAATTCAGTTGTAAGCAAGTTCTTTACAATATATTATGAGTATACAAGAGAGTTGCAGGTTTAAATTGTATTCACTGTTTCTGAATTGTTTTGAGCTATCTATGTGATTGGCCATACCATTCTTGAAGAAGGCAAAATACTTGTTTTACAATATATTATGGTGAACACAAATCTCATTTTATCTTTCCATACCTATCTGTGTGATATCGCAGGAGTGTTTCTTTTACTGCTTTTGTCTTCCTATTATTACCTACTAATCTGTTTTACTATCAGATGTATGAAGTCAAGCCTTGTGTATGGTTTAGTGGTTATCTTTTTGGCAGGTACATTTAGACTTGTGTGACTAATTTTGTTAAACGGTTAGACTGGTTTGTTTTATATAATTACAATAGGAATGACATTGATAGTTTGATCACAGGTACTTTTTGTTTGATTGTTACCTATTAATATATTTGTCTCAATAGTAGACACATGAATCCAGAACTGTCTTGTGATTTAGTAGTTATTTATATTCTAGGTAGGCATTTTGAAACTTGTATGCCCATTTTTGTTAAAGTGTCTACCTCAGCTTGCTTTATAATGCAGAAAAGTCATTGCTAATCTGACCATAATTATTTATTTGATATCTTTGTGGCTATATAGGTATAGTTTTTAAGCTTTTGTTCTCTATCTTTTGTCTTTTTCTTCATTTTGTTCCCTTCAGAATTTTGCTTTTAATGACTCTGGTATGTTATTTTTGTTCCTTCAAACTGAATCCTCATTCCTTGTTCAGTCGTGTAATATTCTTACATGCATGGTTTAGACTTGTTTCTATCCTGCTTTTACCAAAAAAAAGTTATTGAGATTGCACGCCATTACATATAGACTTTGCTATCCATTCTAGGAGAGAATTTTTCATCTCTTTGTTTGACTGCACAATGCATGGATCAGCAAACACTTTCCAAGACAATTACATCATCTATAAATCCCTTTCTTAGCCATGATTGCACGATTCTTAATTGTTTTTTATCAGTTTTATACTCCTGTGTGTAAGTATTGTTTGATACGTATCTATATGCATGTTGTATTTTAAATTCTCGGCATTAGAACTTTATTGTGATCTAATTGAAACTTTTCATAAATTTGTTGCTTGTAGGAAGTTTCAAAGTCTGCTGATTGTTCCCTTGAGGAAAGCACAACTCCAACGATAGTATTGCAGAATGAGAGCAAAATTTATGTCATCGAAATGATAGAAAAGAATTTCCATCAAAACTGAAATTTGCGGCTGATCATTCTCTCGAAGAAGGCGAAATGCTTGTTTTTCTTCCTCAATCCAGCAATTCTTTTGCTGCTGTTGTCCTTAACAAAAACGAATTGAAAATATGTATCTATGGCATTATAAAATTTATTCTGTTTCTAAAATATATAATGTAATTTGATTGTGGTTAGCGCATGTTGCTTTCTTGTGAGCCTCTTCTCCATTAAGTTATTTCATCGTTAGTTCTTCCTTAGCTATGAACTTGCAGGCATGGGCATGAAAAATATTTATATCACCACGCACCGCGCGGTTTGTGCCTCCTAGTCCTTTTTTAAACTCAGAAAAGGGTAAAAAATGGTCAACTATCGTTATTTTTGTTTCTCTATTCGTTAGTTAAAAAGGAAAACATAGATTAACACTGGTAATAAACAAAATAAGAGTGATTTTGGAGTTAAGATTGGTTCATAAAGCCAAGGAAAGAGAATGAAACTACTTTGTAGCCAAACTCTTCATGACTCAACCTAGCTTCCTACTGTATCTCAGAATAAAGCTCACAAGCCATGAAATAGAGATGTAATTGATTCATAGAGAAAATCCAAAAGAAGATCTGGTTCCTTATTTAGGTTTGCAAAGAGATTTGTATGTTTCTCAATTAGGGCAAAAACCTTAAACCTTCTTCATCAAGTCTCTTTGAAATTAGTGATGGCACAAGAAAAATTTTGCAAGTGTGGTGAGCCAGCAAAGATATTTACCTCTTGGACAAACAACCACACTGGGAGAAGGTACTACTCTTGCAGCATTAGGAAGGTATGGGATTTTATCTATTTTACTGGTTATGAATGCAATTCTCCCTATTTTAATTTTTTTCTTTGTTTCGTGAATTGAAAGGGTAGCAGAGATTGCAATGGTTGCAATTACTTTGAATGGCATGACCCAATCATGTGCCAAAGATCTACCGCACTAATCCCTGGTCTGCTAAGAAGCATGAACAATAAGGATATGATAATTGAAAGACTAAGAGCAAGGGAACAGAAGTTGGTGGTGGCAACTGTGGTGTTGTTGATATTACTGTTGATTAGTGACACAAACCCACCTAGAAGGTCTGAACTCGTATCCCACCAAAATCTGGACCTAGATGAAGAATCAAGTTGGATTGCAGAAACTCTTGACCTTTCTAAGCCACGAAGCTATGAACTAAAAAAATTTTTAACCCACAACTTAATAACTTAGCGAATCAAAGTTGTTGGTAGAAAAATGCCACAACCAAGGGTGATTACTTAATTGATAAGTTCGAATTGAATACTCTCAAAGAACTCTCAAATATTCAAGAAAAGACTCTCTTGGACAGGAGCAAAGTGATAACTCACGTTAATTTCTGGAAAAATTCTGATTAGCATTAAACGTTGGAGAGATAGGCTATTTATAGCCTTACCTAAGTAAAAACCTAACGCGATTTGAACTCACTTATTTTACCTAAAACTAATGACTAGAATTCGGTTAAAACAAGGACAATGCTAGCCAAATTATTAAGCTGAAAAATAATGACTAAAATAGCAAGGTAAATGACAAATAAATCCTTGCTTAACAACCCTAAACAATCGACTTCAATAGTTAAGAAAATTACTAACAAAACTGCTTTTTATTTGAGACAACAAGTTGGAGCAAAGTAACACATGGAAACTCTTCAAATTGAAAGCCTTCAATGGTCTGCATATCTTCACCAATGCAATCTTGAATAGTACAAACAAGTGCTTGTAATGACTCTCTAAGTTTTCTTCCACGAGACCTCGTGACCGGACCACTTGGAATTTGAACAACTTGCTCACTTGAAACACGATCAGCCTTGAACCCTTTGAAACTTTCATCACTCCCCTCTTCTTGAAGGCAATTTGTCCCCAAATCAAACTCATCTTCTGCATAAAGAGGGCTCAAGTCAGCAACATTAAAGGTAGCATGAACACCATACTCACCTGAAAGATCAAGTTTGTAGTCATTTTTGTAAATGTGCTTTACAACCTGGAATGGTCCATCGCTTCTTGGAAGAAGTTTATTGCATCTTTGAGCTGGAAAACGTTTCTTCCTCATATGGATCCAAACCCAATCTCCTGATTCGAAGATCACTTGGTGTCTACCTTTATTCACACTTTGAACATATTGAAGAGTTCTTTTCTCAATGTTAGCAGGAACCTTTGCATGCTAATCACGCACAAATTCTGCCTTCTTTTTACCATCTAAATTAACTCTCTCATGAACAGGTAAAGGAGATAAATCCAATGGTGTGAGAGAGTTAAAACCATAAACAATTTCAAAAGGAGAATATTGTGTAGCACTGTGCATAGTGCGATTAAAAGCAAATTCAACATGTGATGAGCAATCTTCCCATGTTTTAATGTTCTTTTTTATGATTGCACGCAACAAAGTAGATAGAGTTCTATTAACTACCTTAATTTAACCATCAGTTTGTGGGTGACTAGAAATAGAAAATAACAATTTAGTACCTAATTTACACCACAAGATTTTCCAAAAATAGATAAAAAAACTTAACATCCCTATCAGAAACTATTGTACGAGGTACTCCATGTAATCGAACAATCGAACGAAAGAACAAATCAACTACATGTGTAACATCATCAGTTTTGTGATATGGAATAAAATGCGTCATCTTAGAAAAATAGTCAACAACTACATATATGGAATCATGACCTTTCCTACTTCTAGACAAACCAAGCACAAAATCCATTGACAAATCAACCCAAGATTCAATTGGAATAGATAATGAAGTATATAAACCATACGGATTCACCTTAGATTTTGCATAATGACATGTCACGCATCTTTCAATGTGACGCTCAACATCTTGTCTCATCTTTGACCAATAGAAGTGCTCTTGAAGAACCATCAATGATGAAAGGTCTAAAGGGTTCAAGACTGGTCGTGATTCAATGGATCAAGTTGTTCAAGTCCCAAGTGGTCTAATTACAAGAGTTCGTGCAAGAAAATTTAGAGAATCATTACAAGCGCTTGTTTGCACAATTCAAGATCGAGTTGGTGATGACACAAGGACCATTGTAGGTGTTCAACTTGAAGAGCTTTCCTGTGTTACTTTGTTGGTTGTACATGAAGAGTTAGAAGCAAGCTCGCTTGACTAAATTATTTACTAGTTAGTTGTGTCGTTAATTAGTTTTGTTCAGCAAGGGCCTAAATGTCGTTTTTCCTTGCTAATTTAGTTGTTATTTTAGTACCATTAATTCGTCCAGAAATTGTCTTGATAATTAGCCGAATTAATCTTAATTAGTTAGGGATTAATTAGTCCAAGTTAGATTAGGGTTTGGAGTCATGGCAGGCTATAAATAGCCTAGCTATTTCAAACGTTTGGGGATAATCAGAATTTTTCAACAAAATATTGTGTGTTTTATCACATTCTCTTGCCAAGAGAGCCTTTCTTGAATACTTGAGAGTTTCTTGAGCGTATTCATCGAACTTATCAATCAAATATCCATCTTGGTTGTGGCGTTTTTCTACAAACAACTTTGGTTCGCTAAGTTATTAAGTTGTGGGTTAAGAAATATTCTTAGTTCATAGTTTCGTGATTTAGAGGGGTCAAGAGTTCGCAAATCAACTTGATTCTTCGTCTAGGTCCAAGGTTTAGTAGGATACGAGTTCATACCTTCGGGCAGGTTCGTATCAGCTTAGTTATCAGAGCTAGTTGACGAATTCAAATATATCTTGTTCGTGTCAAAGTAAGCTTTTTCTTGTTGCAAATCTGGTCGCTTTGCTTTCCATAGAGTCATTAGGGTTTTAATTATTCCATTGCTGTCCGCATCTTTAATTTGTTGCCGTAACTTGCTCTTGCTATCCGTATTCCATATAGTGGTCGTTAGGGTTTCTTGCTTTCTTGTAGTTGTTTTTGTGTCATTTAATTGCTTCCCATACTTCAATCTTTGTTTGCATCGTGTTTGTGGTCCTGTTGGTGTCTTGTGATCTTGTTCTTGAGCCTTGAAATCGAATAGAGTCAAAAAATACAATCTAGTCGTGTTTTTTTCTTGGAAATCCGAAGCTTGAATTGTGTGTTCTTAAAGTTCAAATTGTGGCTGATCATTCTTGTTCTTGGAAGTCTTGAATTTCTGGAATTTCTTGAATATATTCTTGACAAATCTTGAATGTTTGGGACTGTTATCTTGGGTTCTTGAATTCTTGAATCAAAGTTGATCAAATCTTGAACTTTGGACAAACCCTAGTTCTTGTTTCTTGAACAAAGTGGGGTGCGGCTGTTTCTTGTGCAAAACAAAACCCTAACCGTTTCTTGTAGGCTAGTCCAAATTGAAAAAAAGAAAGAAACAAATCTGTTTGCGTGGAAAAAAAAAAAGAAACGCAAGAAAAGAAAGAAACATATTCAGATCACCTTGGAATTGAAACAAGAAAGCAATTCTGGTTTGGGAATACAAGTTGACTTGAGATTAAAAACAAACCCTAGTGATACTCAACTATCAATACAGATTTGCTAGCTCTTGCACATGTGAAATATACAAGAAAATCAACTGCTGACCTTTCAAAAAACAAACCCAAGAAACCTTGATTAAACTTCCCAAAATTCAGCCAAGGTGCAAATTGGGTAGCACAAATTCTAGGGTTTTTGAAAATTTCATCCATTGTTTCTTGTTTTAGCCGAGTTTTGCAATCTGACCAGCAATATAAAGTCATATTTTTGGGTGTTTTTTTCGGCTTGTAAATCATGTCTAAGGGTCCAAAAAGAATCCAAATCAGTCTTGGTTCTTTGTTATTCCATTAGTTTCCTAAATTAAGTCCTAGTCAAAGACAAAGTTTTCAAATTCTTGAGTTATTTTTGTGCAGATATATCTGGTGTTTTCCAGCTTGTTTTAATACATTTTTTGAGACATTATATCAATTCATTTCACTCTTTCAGCTTTTAATTGCTACATTCTTGAGTGAAACTTGGTGAAAGTTTGGTTGATACTCATTGAGAAATTCTGATTACTTTGAGGCAATCAAGTGACTTAAGAAGTGATTGGTGAGATTATTAGAGTGATTAATACACTTGAGTGATACACGAGCACGAGTGAAATGCCTAAGGGAGTGAGTGAGGCATTTTCTACTAACGTTTGTTAAGTGTTGCATGTTTAAAATATGGCAAACGGCGATGAAATGATTATTGCTCAACTTGCTCTAAAATTGAACACCGTGTTAGCAGAGTCT